AAAAAAAAAAAAAAAAAAGCCAAACCTGGTGATGTGTGCTTACAACCAGTGCTGGGGAGGCAGAGACAGATGGTCCCTGGGGCTCACGGTCTAGTCAGCCCAATGACAAGCTCTAGCTCAGTGGTTCTCAACCTTCCTAATGCTGCGGCCTTTAATACAGTTCCTCATGTTGTGGTGAGCCCCAACCATAACATTATTTTCATTATTTTCATTACTACTTCACAACTGTATGCTTGCTACTGTTATGAGTAGTAATGTAAACATCTGTGTTTTCCAGTGATCTTAGGTGACGATTGTGAGAGGGCTGTTTGACCCTCAAAAGGGCTGGCTGGGATCCACAGGTTGAGAACCACTGCTCTAGACCAATGAGAGATCCTGTCTCAAAACCATAAGGTGAACAGGCATAGTGGCATGTGTTCAAACCCAGCACCAGCAAAGGCAGGCAGATTTCTGAGTTCAAAGCCTGCCTGGTATACATAGAGAGACCCAGGCTATTCATGGCTGCATAGTGATATCCTGTCTCAAAAATATAAAATCAGGTGGACAGCTTTTGAGAAATAACACCTGGAGTTGACTTCTAGCTACATGTGCATGGCACATACACACACACATAGAGGCACACACAGGCACACATATGCATGGGGGGGCGTGAAAAATGGAAGAATAAAGTAAAAAGAGAAGGAACGGGCAGACTTACTTTACTGCCAATTGTCCATTTTTAGAAAAAGCCAGAGCACTGGGATATGAAATACCACATATAAAGCCAATCAGTACACTTCTCAGAATACAGTTTTCCTTGCTTATGTTACCTAGAAAGTGAAAGAAAAGTTGGTTTCCTTTTAATATTTAAGATAACAATTAATAAATAGAACAGCTGTCTCTCAAAGCACAGTTATTTTGCTATTTGCAACCACAGGTAAACAGTAGAAGGACTTTAGGAATTCAAAGTCTGGCACTTAATGGGCTTAAACGCATCTTGTTTTAAAACAGTACTTACTTATTATACTCTAAAATATGGAGAATTATCATTTATGTATGCTTTTTACAGAAGCAACGTCACAGTAAGAATACTAACCTATCACATCCAATACCTGGATTCTAGGTGAACACACATACATATTGTTTACTATGTGACAGGTATATGCTAGGTACCAGGAATATAAGTGTCTTTAAAATAGACCTTTTAGTCAAGTGTGGTGCCACACGACTTGAATCCCAGCACTTGGGAGGCAGAGGCAGGGGCATCTTTGAATTCTAGGACAGCCAGGGCTACAGAAAAAAAAAACCAAACTTATCCTGAAAAAGAGTGTGTATGGGGGGAGGGAACACTTCTAGTCAGTATATTAGGGAAGAAAGTCATTAGACAAAGATTAAAGACAAGTGGTAAGAGGGGCTGGAGAGACAGATCGGCACTCGAGTGCACTTGCTGTTCTAACAGAGGACCCAGGTTCAGTTCCCAGAACCCACAAGGTGGTTCACAACCACTCCCAATTCCACTTCTATGGGAGAGCATCACATGCCTTGCTTGATGAGGACTGTTGCACAGATCAAACCAAGAAATACATGTAAATGATAAAATCATATACAAATATCTGAGAGTATTACAAACATTTGTTAATGAGGAACTTTAATTCATAATAGCCACATTATGTATTGAAGAATTTAAGTTTACCTGAGTGCAAAGCATCAGTTACAAAGAGCTTGTAAGTAACGACGGTAGACAAAAATGGAAGGGTAGCTAAGGTAGCAAAGGTCTTCAAAGCTTCATGTTGGACCTTGAAACTGCTTCTGAAAATGGCGTTTGCCAGTACTCCAGACATGGCACTAGTAGTTCCATAGAAAATTCCATGCTTATCTAAAATACTGATAGGACCAAAGGGAAAAAACTAAGATTAACATGACATTCTTTAAATGGATCTATTGTTTCTTCAGTAGTTATACACTATAACATATTTACCCAGCATCAAATGTTTCGTGTTATTAAAATAATTGTCTCAAAGGAAAAAATTATTTGTTTAAGATCATCTAGAAAAAAAAGCTATTTTCACACGGTTAGTCTGTCTAGAAAAGAACTATCTGTGAATTGGCCCATATACATTTGAAATAATTTGTCTATGGTTTATGAAACTTCAGTGAATAAGATCTGAAAGATTTCGTTTTACTTAACCCTGGCTCATACCCGAATCAATAAAGCTCTACAGTTGAACTGTCATTTAACCTCTTCTTGAGTTATAGGGGTCAGGGAGGGGGTCCACGTTTGCAAACATGAATATGAGGCTGGTACTGGTAACTGTCCACGACTGTTCTTTATTAGTTAAGGCATGATCTCTTAAAGTCAGAGCTCACACTAGTTTTGCCTGCCTGCTTGCTCTGGGGATTGCCTGTCTGTTTTCTAAGGCTGGAACTGCTGCACACCTTGAATGTCTGTGGTTTCTGGGCATCCAAACTGCAGACCTCAAACAAAAAGAGCTCTGACCACCAAGTCCCTCCCCAGCCTTGCCAAACCGACTTGAATCATAATTGCTCACCAGTAAAAGATAAGTACCCTTCAATTTGGTTTCATGCTAATTGTTTTTAATTCCAAGAATAATTGTACAAATAATATTTCAGCAATGAGTTTGGGCAATTTTTTTTTTTCAGAAGCAAAAGAAGGGACTTACAACAGCCTCTAATGAGTTTCAGGGGCTCCAAAGCTCCTTTCTCGCTTCCCCCAGTATATGCTCACATACGTAGCATATACAGTTACACAAACAGACACATAAATAAAAACAATATATAAAAAAGAAGCAAAAGAAATTATCCAGACACATAAATAAAAACAATACATAAAAAAGAAGCAAAAGAAATTATCCAGTCTAACAAATCACTATTTCAATCCATTGCTCAATCCACTGCAATTTCTGTCCAGTTCTTTAAAAAAAAAAAAAAAAAAGAGGCATTCTTCATAACCAACTCAGTAGGTAGTTTTCTGTTTGTTTGTTTGTTTTCTTTTTCTCCATGAATTATTTATTAGCTGTGTTTTCAGAACTTTTGTATAGGCATCTTTTGGAACTTCAATGTTGCCAGTTTTCCTAAGACCCTTCCCCACATATGTGAATATCTAGAAGATTCTCTTCTTAGACAACTGTTTAAGATAGCAATTCAGGCAAGAGAAACTGTGAAAGCCTATAGGAGAAACATTTTGGCAAAATGTTATAGTGGTGACACTACCCACTTTTAAAGAAACAAACAGAAGGAGCAAAACGCAAGCAGTTTCTTAAACAATCCTTGGAGACTATGGTAATAAAAAGGATGGATGGGCAAATCAAGTTGGTGACTCAGTTATCAGTGCGTCTCTTACTCTTTTGTATAATATTCAAACTTTTTTTCAATGATTTCGGTGATCACAGGTTTTCTGAATTTTGCATCTCCTAGAGAAGGAATCAGCCGACCACGTGTATAAATTGCCATCTTGATGTTCTGAAAAAAAATGAAATTCCAGAGTCATAACAGCTAACCATACTAACACATAAAGCTTTATAAAACTATATTCAGAGTAAAACCATTTAGAGTCTAGGAATAGTCTAGATACTGTGGAATCTGCTTTCCCAATTTTTTAAAGAAATGATTCAATCAATATTGACTGGGCTCTTATTTTTGTTAAGATAATGTTTTTGCTGAGTCACACACAAACTGGGGAAGTGATGGTTTCTGTGTTTGCATATGTGGTGGCTTGAGTAGGAACAGCCCCACAGGCTCACATATTCCAATGACGGTTGTCAGGGAGTGGCACTGCTGGAGGATTTAAAGATTAGGAGGTGTGGCCTTGTTGGAAGTGTGTCACTGTGGGTGGGCTTGGAGGTTTCAAAAGCCCATGGACCTGGGCAGTCTCTCTCTCTCCTCTCGGTGCCCCCACCTCGCCTTCTGCTGCCTGTGGATCAGGCTGTAAGCTCTCAGCTGCAGGGCCACTAAAATAACAGACTAACGCTTTGAAACTGTAAGCACGCCCTCAACTAAATGCTTTATTTTACAAGAGCTGCTGCGGCCCTGGTGTATCTTTGAAGCACTAGAATGATGACTAAGACAACCGATTAGCAAGGCTGTCTTATCACTGAGATGATTTTTTCCCCTTCAGTATAGCTTCCTCTGTTCACTCCAAAAGAAGAGAAGGCCCTGTTTACCCTCTTCAGGTAATGGCACAAACAGTACCTGCTTGTGGACAATGATCGCCTGTATTCTCTTAAATGAAAGCCTGAGCTCATTCTGTAGACTATTTTGGAGTAGGAGTGGGTAGGAGAGAGAGCCAGGAGTGCTTTGGAGATGGGTACTGTTCCAACCTGGGAAGAGGCAATGCATCACGGTTATATTGGACTTTACATTTTATATTCAGTTTCCTAGTAAGGCTTGGGGTAGAAGCAAGGCCTTTGTCAGAAACAGCTATGTGGTGTACCATGAAACCTGTATTCATGGCAGTGGACTCCGGGACTGTAAGGTTCCTATGTCCACATGATAAGCAGATAACTACCAATATTGAAAGAACACAAGGGCTTGGCCAATGAATTGGTGAAAAATTAAAAAAATAAATTTCAAAAATAAATTTCAAAAGAACCTATTCTGAATGTCTAGCTATGGGTCAGCCTTTTAGGTCTTTGTGGAAACATTTGTTAAATCCTTTGGTATTCTGACATGTAGCTTAAGAGGTTTTAATTTCATCCTAACAAGGAAATATGAACATTTCTTACAAATCCAAATTTTTGGTTGCAAATGTTTACTTATTTCATTAGTGAGAGTTCTACTGATTCAAAGTTCAGTTCTTTTTATTTTTTGCTCTACATTTTTTGGATTAGTCAATGAATAGTTATAAAGTCAAAGTCTCATTATAGATTACATGTTAATATTTATAAGTTAAGAGCACATACTAAACCTCAAATTAATGAAAAACCAATGGATCCGGACTCCAGGAAATCAACACACCAAGTATGGTTTCCTTTATCTTAAGGTGGTATACAATAGATCAAAAGACCAGTTTTTCTGCCTCAATACAGAATTGTATTGAAGTCAGTTCTTTTTCTTTAAAATATCTGAGGAAGATGGGGGGGCACAGAATGCTTCACAAATTATAGATTGAAATCTTTTGCTCCTCCCCCCAACTGCTATCCAAACAGAAAATAGAAGAGGAAACTACTTTCTAAGAGGGATTCTCTACCCAATCCATCTAGTGTACTATGAAGACAGGTATCAATAGCACCATGGCTAACCAAAAAACCTTACAGAAATTTTTTTTTCTGCTCTCATCCAATTCACTGAACAGTCCTCCCCATCACCTACAGAAAATTTCCAGGCCCTTGAAACAGCCCTGGGGAGAGGAGTACTCAGAATTACGGTTGCAGGACAATAAATACTGAAATAATGAAAAGCGACAGAAAATATTTCTGGCACCTGGTGTTTGCAAGGCTTTCGATACACTATACTTGATTAAAGCAAATATAGACTATTGACTTTGCCAGAGGTTTTTACTTATTTTTGTGGATAGAAGCCGGGTGCTTCAGGCATGGGAAATGCTCCCTCTTCATTTCCGAAAGAAGGCTTTCAACAAGCGTTGAAATGAAGACTTTTTACCACAACCAACTTTTAATCTAAAAGTTAAGAAAGTTCAAAGTCACCCAACCGATCAGGTCTCCATCCCTGTACAAATAAGTGCATTTGTGCAGGTGTGCGGTTTGCAAAGTGTTTTACAGTGTGTTGTATTTTTAAGTATACTTTTGACTTGACCTTCAGAATTTTATCCAACATTCTTACACGATTTATCCAGCACTGGTGTATATTAGGTTCCTAGGTCATCAAAAGAGTGAATGTTTTCAAGAATCCATCACAATCTGGCTCTAAGTCAGGACAAACAAGATCAATAAAAAGCAGAAAACTTAAACAGAATGATAGAAATAGACATCCGGCCTGGTGGGGTTAGGCGAGAAGGTATTCCTAATCAAAGAAAAGGCTTGTAAAAGGTCCTCGAGGAAGAGAAACAAGATACAGTTAATCTGGAGTAGACTTCGGGTCTACGTTGTTAGGAACTGGAGACTTTATTAAGCCCTCCATAAAGTCGGGACCAGTCCTCCATTTGCTCAGATCCTTCACGTGTACCATCTCCGAGGACATGACCCACACCACCCCAGGTTCCCGCCTACCTGGGGCGCTTCTCTATCTTCCATCTGCTCCACACTAGCAGCCCTCACTGGAGACCCAGTTTGGGTCTGCGACACCGCCATCTTGGCGCCTCACGTGACTGGCTGTAGGGCGTGGCCGTAGAGCCTGGGGCGGGACTTGCAGCTGGCTGACAGCTCGCTCCTCTCGCCGGGTCCGCCCCCACCCAGTCAAAAGCCGCGCCCCCCAGCTGGGCGGAGATTGGGCGTGGCGTCCGGAAACTGCGACTGCTCATTGGCTCCGAGGAAGGCCCAGGCGCCCGAGGGCCCGCCTCCGGCCAGCCTTGCTTGTCCTTTGCCTGCAATTTGTCAGCCTGGCCGCCTCTTGGCCAACCTGAAGGGAACCTGGGGCGCTTCGGGCTCAGGCCTGTTGCTGCGCGCCTTCTTCTCAGGGCGGCTGGGGTAGTCCAGCGCTGGCAGCTCGCTCCTTCGGCCTGGTCGGTGTGTCAAGGCCGTGGCTTCTCGGGCTCCTCCTCAGAGCCTCCAGCCCGCCTCCCCGGCGCGGCCAGAGCAGCACGGACTAGCCTGCTCTTCCCAGTCTTCAGTCCCCTCATAGTCCACCCTCAAGCCCCGCTTGGAAAGGGTCCAGTTAGAAATCCCCTCTCCCCTGCTCCCCAGAAGAGCCCTGGTCGGCCAGTGTTTCAGGGGTGGAGGGTGCTGCGAGGAGGCCAGGCGCGCTTCCGTGCACGTGAAATGCCCAGCAGCGTCTCCCAGACCCGCAACCCCCGACCCTCCGGTCTCCATGTCTTAGACAAGCCAAATTCGAGAGTTATATAATTTCTAGTGCTGCTGTTTCTCTTGCCCGAGGAAACACTTCATCGCGTGGAGGGTGCAGGACATTTCGGTGCTCTTCTGTATAAGACCGGGGTGTGGGCAGGGGTGGCCAGCGGTGGCAGAGAAATGTCTTTTCTGCAAAAGGAAGGTGGGTAGATTGGAGAAAGACTGAGAAAGGGTGGATGTGGAAGCCAAACAGCTGCACTCCCATTTAGGATATCGCGGACTATTTGCATAGTGTGTGGTTGCATGCCTAATACTACTACAGCATCTCTGAAAACACCTTTGGGGTAAGGTTTGGTTTCTCCTCTCCAGCAGCCTCAGTGTTTTTCCTCGCCGGATAGGGAGCTGCTTGGATGCAAAGAGATGGCATGATGTGAATGACTCCAGTGTGAAGAAGTCTGCTTCGCCAAATCATCCTGCATCAAGTGCCCATTGGATAGCACTGTCACTTTAATGTCTCCATGCCAAGGGATTGCTTTCCTTCTTTTCAATCCTCTCGGTTAATACACGGGAGGATCAGAATCAGAGGGGCATTAAGGATCAAGCTTTGGGGGCTTGGAGAGCACAGAAGAAAAATATGAAAGGGACAAGCTGGATCCTGTTTTACTGAGGGGGTGAGATCCGGAACCATTAAATAGAAGGGGGCCTTTGCATTTCTGTTCTGCCCCAGAAAACTATTCAAACTCACACACCTTTTAAAAGACTAGAGTCAGACGTTTTTTAAAAGTATTTTTGAAGGGGGAAGTTTAAACATTTTCCTAAGAATTGATGCTCTTTATTACCAACCATTTCGATCATGTATAAAGTAATGAGACAACGATCCTAAAATTGGTCTGTGCCTTAATTGAGTTAGTCATTGAACATCCAAAAGTATTCCTGCCGGAAGAGAGGAGTTTTAATAACATTTTCTATGCAGACAGTAACTTTCTCAGCTTTTAAAACAAGAACACATATTTTACAAAAATTGAAAAACTTATTTTTTTCCCTCTGAACACTGTGGGCAGTGTAAACTGTTTGGTTCTGGAAAAATGCATCATTATTTTCTTTATTTGAAATAGAAGACTCAGCCTGAATATCAAGGCTGAAGCGTGAAGTGGTTTGCAACAGTTAACCTGGCTCCATCTCAATTCAGCTGGATCAAGCAGAGACTTGCAAAGAGATCTCGAGTCCAGTGTCAGTGGAGAGACCCAAGAATGCCAGTCAAGAAGAAAGGTGGGCTATAAGGTTCATATATAACATTTAAGTTTCCCTTTTTTTGGCTATGGTATTTGTAATTTATATTGTATTCCATTGGAGAGCAAAAATTTGCCTTGTTTTGAGTAAATACTCGTTGCAATACTATCTACTCAGTAGTACTTTTTCAGTAATATTTTGCTATAGTAAAATTAAGATGATATTATAGACATATATGAATTAATAGACCAGACAGTTGATGTTGCCATTTATAATCAGAATAGATTCAGTGCTATAGATTTGGGGTTTTCCTTAGCTTGTTAAAGCTAAGTTTAAATAATATTTTAAAAAGTAACTGGTACAATGGAGCTCTTTCCTATGAGCTTAATATTTATTGAATGATTATGTAGTTGTAACAGATAGCAAAATGATGGTGTCTACCCTGAGCAAAATTATAGCTTTATTATTTATAATTAAAAATAGACTTCATATTTGAGTTTATTCCACTGTAAATCTCCACTATTGTGGTAATTCACAACTTTGGTTAATTATTCTTATAAATAACATGGTTATTATTCAATAACATGCTTGGGAAGTTCCCTCAAATAAGACATGCACTTGCTTTTTTTCCCCCATTTCAATAACTGTTATAACTTTGATCAAAATCCAGTGGGGTTTCTGGAGCATCATTTATTATAGGTCAGAGACCTTAAGGGTTCAATTTAGCCTAGATCTACCTGAGATGAACTTTATTCCATAGGACCTTAGTGAAATCTGTTTTTTAAAGATGACATCAGTAATAAAGTTTATGGAGAGGTTTGAATAGAAATTAAGAACCACCTTGAAATTTACTGTTCTGGGCTAGTATTGTTTCAAATTTTGTCCAGTTATGTTGATTGCTATGCTATTGAACCTGAGACCACCCTAAGACATATTTTCATATAAGATCTAAAGAAATTATATGGCTTTTTTATGTTGTTCAGTCCATCTGCTTGTGGGTTTGGAAGATGTATTGAGAAAAATCCCAGTCAATGAGGTGCTTTTGTCTAAAATAGTGTATGTAAAGGGAAGCAGTGCTATCTAAACCTATTCAAACATCTACAATTGTGCTTTTCCTCCCTGGGGTTGAAAAGTAGGACTGTTTATCATTCCCCATAAGACCACTGGAAGGGGTGAGCTGTCTTTGATTTTTGGAGCTGTACCTGGCCATGTTGGCTATTGTTGGTTTATATGCAACAAGAAAGAAAGGTTTGGGAAATGAGGCCAATAAACAATGTCTTTGATTTCTTTAACTCAGTGTGTGTTTTTTACTCTATCTACTATTTCTGTAGACAAATATTTTTTGGAGTACTTTATTTCACTTTGCTTACAATTATAAATGGCAGAGAGAAGGAAGTGGTGAGGGAGGGAGGAAGAGAGAGGAGGAGAAATCACAATTGATGTTCTAGGCGTAACTTTATGTAAGCAGAGGGAACTTAAGGGGTCTAAAGCCAATAGACTCGGTTTCTTAAAAATTACAATTTTTAAAAAAATTCTAGATATTGTTGTCATATTATTGAAAGTTAATATTTCATGAGAAAATGTTACGTTTGTTCTCTTTGTCTTCTTTCTTTAAAAAGTGAGTTGATACAATGAGATAAATTTTTAAAGGTGATCAACAAGTTCTTCTAAAAAGGTATATATTGGAGTAACACTAATGAATCTGCATTATGGAAACAATTTAATGAATTGATCTAGAGAATTTATGTTGTTTTTAATTTTTAAAAAATGTTGGTATTCACATACTTTTAAACAGAGGCTAGTCAAATTATTGCATGAGTTTTGTATTTTAATTGCTAAGTTTGCTATGTCTACTGCTTCTACAAATAAGAAAAGTGTTTTAAATTTCAATTAGATTTTATAGGTCAGACTGCCCTTCATTCTTTTGAATGCTTTTCTCCATTTATTGTTACATGGTATAGATATGTGAGGAGGAGTTAGATGTAATGTGATGTAAAATAACTACCCCATTGAGCCAAGTGTCTACTCATTGTCAACTATATCCTCATCAGAATATGAAGTTTTCCTGAGACATATTTTAATTTGGTGCTTATTTTGCACATTATTTCCATGGTAGAGAGGATATTTCCTCACTGATAACCTGTGACCATGATGGGAAGTGGGAATGGGTGTGAGATCTCATCAAACCCATTTGAGGGACCTATTCTTGGCCAGCAACAACTGCTCACCTCACACGTGCTCTTCTGCATTGTGGCCGTTATTGCATCTGTTTCTACCTTTCTGATCCATTCCCCTTCACATTGTTTTTTATGGACCTTAGCTTTATCAACTGAAGACTCTTCTGTTCTGTTGTTACAATTTTTTCTCAAGTTTTTTTTTTTTTAATCCAAGATTCTATTTTCTATAGTAGTAACTTAATTTACTCCCAACTGAACCTATAGGACATATTTTAGCTTGTAAAAAAATGTAGAGTTAATCCAAAGTAAGATATGATGCAAGGTCATAGAAGATTGAAGAAACTTCTTGAACTGAATGATAGAATTTCATATTAGTCATTAATGTTAGAAAAAAGTTAGTTATGGTTTGGGCTTCATGTTTTCAGTAGAAAGTTGTCATTTTAAGTTGTTCCAATGGAACTTTTTAGTGCAGTGAAGTTTCGTTCTTGAACATTTTTGTCAAAGTCATTATATACAGGAAGGAAATCATTCTTTATAGTAATTGGCGATAAATGCCACTTTCATTTCTGTGGTTTTGTAAAAATGCTCTAGTTGTCTTCTGGGTATCTTTTATGCTGACATATAACCACCCCCGATATTAAGTCATTTACAGGATACTTTTCCCCTTTGAATTCTTTTTTTGCAGTTGTTCTCAATGTATAAAATGGGCATATATAAAGAGATGTTTACCATGTATTGAAACATTGTTTTCATATTCATTCTTTGACAATAAATATTTAGAAGAAAGATGAATGTTATGTATTTTGTTGTATGTAATTTAGAATTCTAAAAATGATGATATCATATATCTTATAGGCACCCTTATCATTGAGATTGGTATTTCCTGGCCACAATCTTTTATGGCCTTGCTTTGATGATCTTGCTCATTTCTGATTTTATTTGGGGAAGGGACCTTATGACTATTCTCCTTATTCTTTCTTCATTTAAAGTTTTCTTCCCTCATTACTTGTTTCTG